AGAACATTTTCCTCCTGCTCCCTCCCGTGAACTTCTGGGCTTCAACTTTTAGAAGTGGGCTGAAGTAGCGCTGGCACTTGCCAGCTGCTGCTACTCACCGGAGCTCAGTGGAGTTCTCCATCATCCTCCGTGGAGACGTCATATTTGAGTCCCTTCCAGCTGCCGGCACTGCGGGCAGCCCGGTTCCCATCTCCACGCTGTCCTCCCGTCCTTCCTTCGCTGGCCATGGGCCTCCACCAAATTCTTCTTGGCCCGGAATTACCCATGGCGAGTCTCAAGCCGGAGGTGGGTTTCCAGGGAAAACCTGAGGGACGTTCACGTCTTGTGTTATAGATGTGCAAAGAGGAAACCACCCCAACACCTGCTGTAAGGGACAGGCCTGCTGTTCCCATAATACAGGCATTTCACATGTGGCTTGTTTCTGGAGCGCATGCTGGGACTTGATAGTCTAGCCGAGACTCAGACGGGGAAAAACCCTCTGTAGAGGATTGGTGTGTCTCTCTGAAGTACCTATTTTGAGGGCTACAGGAGGGATTTGAAAGGTGTCTTGCGCATTGAGCTGGAGTTTTATCCACTGCTGATTGCTTTCTTGTGGTCCATTCTCAAGGACGTGTAGAGACTAAGCCACTGGGTTGCGTGCGGCATGGCTGCACGGGCTGCTCCTGGTGAGCTCCTTCTCGGCTAAGCCGTAGAGTTTGGCTGTTCATATTTGAGCAGAGCCTTGGGTGAAGGATGGTGGCAAGCTTGCCTTGCTTTCAAGGTGGACCAGTGGGGGCCTCTGCGGCCGCTGGTGGCTTGGCTCAAGCTGCTGCCCCAGCCCACGCTACTGTCTCCTGTTTCTTGTCTCCTCCTCAGTGGAGCTAAGGGAATGATCTGCAAATGTGTGTGTCAATGAACATCCCCCCCCCCCCCGAGCTGAAACGCTCCATGTTTCCTTCACTCCAGCTTGCCGCCAGCGTTTCGCAGCAAGACGCCTGGGGAGGGCCAAGCCACTTCCCACCATCTGCTCTCCCATCCTTTGGTAGCATGGGGCTACGGCAAGGGACGGGGATGAACGTGACACCCAAATCCGAACCCCCCAAGGGCAGAGGGCAGGCTGTGCAGCTCCTTGCCTGTCCCGACAGTAACTCCATCTGCATCTAAACACAGATAAATCAGGGGACCGGAACCCCCAGGCACCCCAGAGGGTGTTTTTTCAAATCAAATCTGCCAGCTCAGAGATTTTGGTATCACTCAAGCCATGAAATTCCTGGAGCCCCTTTCTACCTCTGATCAACTTTATATTCTGCATCTCAGTAATCTGGGGAAATAAGCTGCTTTTGGTGAACACTGTGGACCCCCCCCCAACCTGGAAACCCCATCCAGGTCCCAGCTTCGGAAGCCACATCAGGTTGCACACTCCTAGAAGGAAGAGCAGGGTCTGTTTGGTCTTTGAAATATTTTAATGCAGAAAACATGTCTTTAAATCACAGCTTTGAGGGCCTGAGCTCCAGTGTGGCGCACACTGTTTCGCTGTCTGCATTCCAAGAAAACACCCAAAACTTCCAGTATGCTTCTTATTACTGGCCTAAAGTGTCAAATTCACATCGGCTCTTCCAGCTGGGAAGTGTTCAATGGGATCGTTTGTTTGATATGCTGATACAGATCTTGTTACTACATCAGGACTGTAGGTGATCTGTCAGTGTTTACATCATGTCATGTTCAATATCGGAGTTAACTGATTCGGAAACCCGATCCAGCGTTAAAACCCTTGCGCTGTTGACAAGAAGTGCCTAAGGTCAGTAGCTGCCATCATTTTATAGTACTAAGGGCTGTTGTTTCCATAAATATTGACCTGCAAGCCAGCGCTGGCACAGCTGGAAACACAGTGCAAAATCTCCAACCCAACAGCAGGTTTCGTGCCCCAAAATTCACAGGTCGGGGTGATTAAGACTTCTCAGACAGATTTCTTAGGATGAGGTCTGAAACTGTTTGAAGTCGATTGAAAATCCGCCCACTGGCTTCGGGAGGCTTTGAGTCAGTCCTTGGGTTAAGCTAGAAACCACCTTCCTCTTCTCTAAGGTATGAGCTATTGTTCACTTGATGGCATTGGTTTCCTCTCCGTGACAGCTGTGGGTAGATGGGGAAGGGCTTTTAATGAAGCCAACCGCTGCAGAAATTAAAAAGCTCAGGTTGTTCTGATGAAAGAAACCCATTAATAGCGATTCTCTCTTGCGTGACAAAATCTGACGTCCCTAGCTCTAAGTGACAAGCGGCAGGAAGTCCTGGGGAGACAGCCTGTACCAAAGAGGGTTGGCAGTCCAAGCTGGTGGTTTTTAACTCATTCGCTGCCTTGTTTCATACAGTTTAGCGCTGCCCGGTCCCGCCGTGTAGATGGGGTGGGATACGAACCGGAGAGGGTCTAGGAGAGCTGGGAAGGGTCCTGGTCCCACCGCAGCTCTCCTCTGGGCTTTCACTCCTAAATGAGCCCCTGTGTTTGCCTTGACTTATATTTGCATCAAGTTTTCTGCTTTCTTTTTCTGAGGATAGTTTTAGGTTTTTGGGGTTTTTGCTGGTAATTGCTGGGTCTCCCTGCAAACCAGCCCCTTTTAGAGGGTGTAAGTACAACACTGCTATTTAGTTGAGGCTTAAAAACTCCACGGGGCTGTGCCCGCGTTCAGACAGCATGGGGACCAGATCAACCACAGTGCAGCACGATGCAGCCACATGAAGCCCTCAGTTAAGTCCATACGGCTGAATAATCTTTAAAAACATTATCATCATAGAGATCACTCGATTTATTTTTCAGGATTTTCTCCGTCACATGCCAGATACTACCGCAGGATAGGGTTTCAGCTGAGATAGAGGCAGAGAATTTAATTTCCATTAAATTTCTGTAGAACTTGGTCTTTGAAGTCCTTTTGGCTTCTCTGCTAAGCTCTGCCTGAGAAAAGTGGTTAAAGGAAAAACATAAACCTATTTTTCTTCTTCTGTGCTCAAATGTATACTGAAATAATAAAATGTGGAGCAAAACAAGACACCTCACTGCACACGCTTTGCCCCTTGGGGAAAGCACAAATACCGTGTGACAGATGCTGCTCACGTCTCCGAAGGCCCTCAGATAATGCAGAGATGCCCAAGGTCTAGGGACGCACAGAGATTAGAAGAGATGGTTTATGGTGTCGATTTGAGGTTTCCTTGGTTTACTTCACACAGCAGGGAAAATATATTTTCAAAATACCATTGGCTTTTGCTTTCCGCTGGGAGTTCGTCCTTACCACGTTTTGCTCTCTGGCATCAGCACGTTTTTGTTCGGTTTGAGCTTTTACACACCCGGGAGCCTGGGGGATTATAGAGTTTGGGGGAGATGGTGGGGGTCACTTGGACGTGGAGCTCCCAGAGGAGGGTCAAAGCCCCTCAAAAACTGTGGCTGGGGGCGGTTTGCTGTTGGGATACCCGTGGAGCGTTGCCGTGGCAGGGAGCTCAGCTGGGAGCGCGAGATCCCCTCCGGAGTTGATGTTCTCCCCTCCCGTCCGAGCCGTCCGGCGTCTCCACAGACAGCCTGGCAAGCGCAGCCTGAGCGCGATGAGCCAAGCAAATGCAAGATCAGAAGATATCAGACATCAGATTTAAAGAGGGGGAAGTCTGGGGACTTTCTGTGACTTTGCTATAAATTGACACCGAGCTCACGCTACGCAGATGTGAGGGGGGGAGGGAAGGGGGGGCATGAGCAAGAGGTGGTTGCGTTTTTCACCTTTCAAATGCATCGCTTTTCTTCTTAAAAGCCACCGAGAACTGAGCTTGACTTGGTGGATGTTGGCCATAGGGCTACATCTGATAAAGCTCAGCTTGCAGAAGAGCTGCAGAAGGGTTTCATCCCAGCTCCTCTCCTACCTCCCCGGCGTGCCTGCACACCTCCAGTGCCCCCGAGCTCTGCTCTCGATTACGCCGGGATAAGGCCTCTGCCACCTTGGGAAGGTCCTTTCATGACAGGTGCAAAGAGCTGGCGGTGTTGCACGGCTGCGGCAGGTAAAGAGCAAGGAGAATCCAAGGTCTGAACCGGCACTGATGTAAAACTGAAGCAGCTCTGGCTTCTCTGGAGTCTCTCCAGTTTTGTGCGGGTGTAACTGAGACTGGAATCTGGCCCAGAGAGAGTGAAGCCGTTCGGCGATGATTAATGTAGTAAAATGCAAAAGTTATGTATCAAGTGTATTTCATGCGCCTCTTGCCTCAGGACAATTAGCATAAATTTAATAATTATTGCCCTGTTCCAGCAGCTGCTACCTAAGGAGCTGGGAGTGCTTTACAAATGCTCATTAGTTGCTGCCCTGCCTGGGGGAGGTAGGTGAATAGTCTCCCCATTTTATGGGTAGGAAAAGAGGAACAGAAAGAAGCGAAGTGAGACGGCCAAGGTGCGGTGCCGTGGGCAGGCTGCTCCCTTCCCTCCTCCTGCACCCTCTCCAGCCCTGCTTGGCTCTGGCCCCGTTGGGTGGGCAGAGCTGGGGAGGGGGCTGGAGTAAGACGAGAGTTTTTTCTTTGTGCACTGAGCAAACGCTGTAGAAGATACTTAAAATTCAGTTTCCTTTGCTGGTTCCCCAATCACCACCCTGCCAGGAGATGGGGTTTCTCCTGCCTTGCACGTGTCTCCCCTCCTTGTTCGGAGAGAGTGAGGGCTGGTGTAGGCTGGTCACTCAGGCACGGCACAGGGCATCCTGACCCTGGCGCCCGCATCCTGCTCCTTGATCGCACGCTGACTTGCCGGATGATCTGGGGCCTCCCACATGGGTCAGTCTGTGTCCCTTCTTCAGCAGGCTTCGTCTGTCTGAACTGCGAGCTCTTCCCGCGTGTGTGTGCCACGCAAAGCCCCCGGGGAGCCGATCTCCGCCGGGGCCCCCACACACAACCCCCGTGCGAATAATAGCAAACCGCGAAGATGGAGGCTGCGCTGACTTTGTGTTTAACCAGGGCGCTCTAGCCAAAGGGTAACTGATTAGATATCAGACTCTCTTATCATGTTCCAGGGCACAGACAAAAGCTAGAAGACCAAGCCAAACCCTTCACCGACCGCTACGGGGAGCTGGAACGGCTGCGCCAGTCCATGAGAGTCACCCCAACAACACCCAACCCCCGCGGATCCCTCAGCACCCCAAGCCACTTTGGGTCCCAGGCTCAAACTCCAATACAAGGTAACTGGCTGGGTGCCCCAACCTGGCGTCGCACTCCGAACCCTCGTGCTCCCGACACGGCCGGGCAGGGAGCGGAGCCGTCCCGGCCGAGCAAGCCTCCCCCTAGATGGTATTTTAGGGCTGGAGTCCAGCCCTCCCCTGGGTAAGGAGCCCTGCCCGGGGCACAAGCCAGGGACGGGTTTGGTTGGGTTTCTTGACCCTGGAAGCCTTTTTGCATGCATTAAATCAGCAGACAGGTGCCGAATCATAAACCCAGGCGATTTCGTTCTGTGCACCATTAGATGTGGGGTCTTAGGAAAAACTCAGTGTCAGCAGGAGCGCGAGGGAGATCAGAGCAACATACTTCAAATCCAGTAGCTTCTTTGACATGAAGGCACCCGCGTAGATGGTTAAGCATCAGCTAGAAAGGGTGTATTATACTTTACATGCTAATCCAAATGGTTTCTTATCTTGTTGCATTGTGTTTCTGCCAAGTCTGGTGATCCATCACCCAACTCCAGCATAATTCCCCACACGTATGCACACCTGCATGGCTGCACGCGTGCGCACACACTCACACACAGAGGCTTTGCTCTTCCCATATTTGCCATCAGCATAGCTGAGCCCTCGGGCGTTCCCCGTGAATCTGCATCGTAGCTTGTTGCCAGGAAAGAGGTAGGAATTGCCACCAGAGTTACCCGAAAGAGGTCAGTCTGCTAATTCCCATGCACCTGAATTTCAGCCGCAAACTAAGCATTGCATTTGAAAATATCCAGTTGCCTTGCTGCTTCTGGCTTGCTGCACTTCTCAGCGCAGCCAGATGCCACCAGGATGTATTGAGAGATGTATTAAGTTCTCCTGTCTGCACACGAGACATGCTCCTTTTCCATGCATTTTTAATCCCGGCAATGTTTTCCTTTGAAAATCAGCATAATACTAACGGGGATTTAAGGGATAGTATTTAAGCTGTTTGCATTTTGAGTTTTGGTGAAAAGTGGCCCTTCTTGGAAGGTTTCATATGAAAAGTTCCAAAAGCCTTTGTGTTGCATTTTCAGAAGTGACGTAGATGTTTGAAAACCTCAGTGTCATTGGCAAAGAGGGTGTCTCAGGCACAAAAACATGTTTGAAAATGTTACCCGAACTGTAAAAGCTGCCCCGCTCCTCCCAACCCAAAATTACAGTGAACATTTAATTTCTTTCTCATTGAAATGCAAATCTTTATGCTTGGAATTTTCATTGATATTAGCATGGTTTATGAGAAGAAGCCAGGCATTTTGTGTAGGATTATGATTTGATTTTTGTTAAAAAAAGCAAGAGAGAGAAAGAGAAAGAGTTTTATAGGTTCATGCCATTGGCTGCATAATAAAGAAAGATATTCTTGGGGGAAGAAAAAAAGATGCGTATTTTAAATTAGCACAGTCCCCTGTAGTGCCAGAAA